TAAAGGTGATTTCTTTGTTAAGCTGTGTACAGAGGCTGAGGCAGGAGATATGGGGTCTTGCCTGGCCTTGCAAGATTTCCTTCTGATGAAATCGTGTCACCTCTGTGAGTCCAGATTTATTTCTGGAAAAGGAAAGGTTGCTCTGCAGTGCCTCATGGAGAGTGACCAGATGCTTCAGATGGAAAGTGGTAGAGTGCCCAGCACCAAACTGTCTCTCCTCTGGGAGGTGCAAATCCTGCAGTGAGGCCAGAGAAGATGCCCCACTCTTACAAATTGAGCTCTTAAAAATATTGCTAGAAGATGGAATTAAGACCTTCATGCTACAGCAGTTGCTGTCCTCCACAACAAGGAGGATGATAGAAGGCAGATGGAGAAGCACTTCAGGTTTTGTGGTTTCCACACTCCTGTGGAGCCAGCCGAAACAGAACAGCAGAGGGTTTGTGATCCCCAAGGATGAAGGTCAGGCTGGAGCTAGGAATGCTGCTGGCTCTTTGATCAACACATGAGTACATGTCCTGTGGGCACCCTTTGGTTATTGGAGTTGGACAGCATGAAGTGTCACAGCTACTCCTGCCATCTGCTGCTGGTCCCTGCCTGCTTCTGGCTATCAGCTTGATCTTTTGTGGCCAGCTTGTGCTGGTTCAGCTGCTAAATTGTCTCCATGGGTACTTCCCCCACTGGTACTCTTCAGCAGCTGCAGCATGGGTGCTATGAATGGCAGAGGCTGTTTTCGAAGACACCCAAGATCCACTGTGTCAAGGGAAACGTGAAGGCAGACAGGGGGAACAGCGCAGAAGGACCAATGCAAATCTCTGCCTTTGTGTAGCAGTAATCGTCTGCACGGATCGGGAAAGGAAATAATTGGCTTGGCAGCAGCAGAGCACACAGATACCTCTGAATCACAGGCTCAACATGAGTCAACGCTATCACACGGTTGTGAAAAGGCAGACGTCATAGGAGGCTGTGTGAGGAGTTGCATGCTTCACAAGGCATCTGAAGTATTTCTCCTGCTCCCAGTGCCGGTAAAGCTGTGGCTGGAGCCCTTTCTTTCCCATTTTAGATGCTATATTTCAAGGAAGATGTGGGCCAATAGGAGAGAGTTCAGGGAGAACAGCGAGAGTGGTCAGAGGGCTGGAAACCATGAGGAATGAGAAAAGCTTGGAAGGACGTGGGATTGTTTAGTCTGGTAAAGAACAAGCTTAGCAGGGGAGGAGAAGGAAAAGCTTTCAAAGACATAAAAGGCTGCTGCAAAAAGTGATGGAATGAACTGTTCTTAGTAGCTACTAGGAAGAAGATAACCAATCATAGCCTGAGCAAGGAAATTTAGTCATTGGAGAGAACTTAACATTAGTGAAAGGCGGATGAAGTACTGAAACCTCTACTACGTGTGGGGTTGGTGTCAGGAGGCCTTCAGAGTACCCATCTCTGGAACTCATCTTGCTTTGGCCGGCAGGATGCACTACGAGACCTTTGTAGCCCTGTCTTCCTATTGTTTGAAGATTATTTTATAAAGCTTTGATGAAGTCTGCCTCTTTGGAAGCAGGCACGCATTTCTCAGATGCTGCCAACCTTACAAGACAGCAGGCATTACATGTAACAGTATATCATTGGTATGGCAGCCATTTTCCAAGGTCCTGTTTGGGCTGCAGGCTCATTGTTAAGGGCAGAAACATAGAGTGTGTTCAGCTATGGTGGGACAGGAAAGGAGCCCTTGGCTTGCTGCTTGTCACTGTGTGCAACCACAGCAGGTGATGTACAGACATGGTCTTTGTCCAGAAGACATTAGATGGGTGCAAGGAAGTCCCTCCACCCAAGGCAGAGCTTCCCAGCATGTTGATGTGCTGATTCAGCTGCTGACTTCGGCTGTGCTTTTTAGTCGTGGGAAGGAGGAGCTTGTGTCCTAAATGGGTGATTGTCCTGATCCTCATCCCTGGGATCCATTATGTCTTATCAAATTACTTTCTCTCCTTTAAATACCTTAGTGATTAAAGATGCCCTAGCAGATACCCTTCATGAGTACAGAAAGGGTAATAATTCCTCCTGTTGGCACTGAATGCAATTAATCAGGCCCCTTTACTTGCTTTTTAAATGAATGAGGCATTTAAGGCCAAGCAAGTTTTTAATTGGACTTTAATGTTTCTCATTTACTTCGTTTTGGCACAAGAGTAGGAATTTCCACCCCCAGGTTTGCTGCTGGATTTATTCAGGGTGATGAAAGGCTCAGCGTGGAGTGAAGGCTCAGCAGCAGACTCAAACATGTCCTTCAGCCTGTGCCTGGCCCCATCTCATTGCCTGGCAAACAGCACAGAACCAAGGGTTGTTGGGGCTGGAGCAGAGCTGGGTCATCCAACCACAGCCCATCTCCAGCATGGAGCTGACATCAGATATTTGCAGTGTTTTGGAGTAGTGATCAACACAAGGGTGCAACATAGCCTGGCCTTTTTGGTCAGGTTCCCTTGCCTTGAAGGAACTGTTGACTTGCAGGTATTGTGGCTGTCTGTAAGCAGTTGATGGAAGTCCATGTTTGTAACTTAGACTCTGTAGCTTCAAACATGGGGTGAATTGTATCTTTTAAGGTGTGCTCCTGAAGTCCATGGCCAAGAGGAGATAGAGGGCCCTTGAGCATTGTTACAGATAGATGTGTGCATGTAGACATTGTTAATTTATGCCAGGAATTACCATGGAAAAAAAAGTGTTTGATAAGCATGCAGCCTGCAGCCCCTGCGCCCTACTGTGAAGCCAGCACTGCTCTTGCTTCCACCTCTGGCCATGAACCATCTTGCCTTTGGTTCCCTTCCCTCCTGTATATCCTCCACTGTGGTTTGGGAACAGTAGTTGCCTGTGGGCATGTCCCAGTCTGTGTTTCATGCAGGGACGTGTGTGGCAGCCCAGCCTGGCCGATTGGCCCCTGTCCTGACTTGGCTCTTCCCCTTGGCAACTGACAGGCTGAAGAGAAAAAGAAAAGGCATCAATTTCAGCATGTGTGAGCCTGCCTTTGCGCCTGCTTGTCACTCTGCAGGGCAGGCATTTCTCTTGACACCCAGGAGAGATCTTGAAACAGCTTCAAGTGGGTGTTCCAGGTGTGTGCTGTGTCTTATGCAGAGATAGGCCTGTCTGTAATACAGCTGTATGGTTGGCTGTAGGGTTCCACCTGCAGAAGAGTTGGTTGATGCAGGTGAGATGTTGAGTTGGCTCTCATGCCATTGGGGTTCTCTGCCCAAAAAAAACACTTAGGAGACATATAGGGACATGGGACAACACCCTCCATTTCTACACCTCTGCTTCTCCCACTTCAAAGGTTGACAAAATTGTAAGCACGAGTGTGTTTGGAAAGTTAAGTGCATCCAGAGAAACATGTTATTGAATACCTTTCTTGTGTTAATTTAAACACCTTCTGCCTGCCAGGCTTGAGGGAGAGGAGCAGTGCCAGCTGGATCAGCCCTAGAACTTCTCTACATCTGTCTCAAGGCATCTTTACTTTAAGTCTCATGCTAAACCCCAAGGCCTTGCAGTAAGGAGCTGTGTCCCTCAGAGTGAAAAGTGTTGGCTGGCACTGCCGTGGGCAGGGACTGAAAGAAAGAAGAGAGCCAGGTCTTGGGCCATTTCTGCTCCTCTGGCTGGGCATATGAGGAGGGGCAGGCATCTTTGTCCAAGGGTTATAGAGCCTGCCAAGATGCCCTTAATCCAGGGTTTGTAGCCCAAATATATCTCTATCAGGCAGCTGCAACCCGAGGTGACTTTGGGCAGCCATTCTTGCATTGAGAATCTTCTGGCTGAGACTTTAAAAGACGTCATTTTCTTTGATTTAATTCCATATAAACTGCAGAATTATTTTCCTTTAGAGGCTTGCAAATTATGGAAGCATAAACCATGCTAATGATCCGATAAGGACAGCTTTGGATATGTTCCCAAGAACAGCTACCCCTGGGCAGGAGTGTGCTTGGAGAGTACTGATGGAGAGCAGTCTGCTGCGCTCACCTGGCTGCCTTCCCTTTTGTAGGCCCCCCTCCCCAGATTCCTCCATCTCTCAGGAACGAGAATCATTTCCTCTCCAGCTTCTTGTAGAGGCAAAGGCCCTGCAGACCTGAAGTTATCTCTGGAATGTGTGTAAACACCGAGTTCAATGGGATGTTGTTTGCCCCTCTCTTCTGTGGGAGTTTACAAAGGGTTAATACCAGCTTGTTTTACCAGTTCCTAGCCTGGGAATTGTCTTCCTTAGAGGGCAACCTGGCTGATCTGAGTCCCCATGTGTGCATTTCCCAGCATAAAGGGGAAATTCGGGGGCCCTGCCACATGGGTGGGATTTCAGTCTCCTAGAAGCAAGGAGATGAAAGACCAAGTTGGTTTCCTGCTAAACAGGGACCTGGGAGGTGGTAATTCAGATGTAAATTCTTTATGGTGTATGAGTATGTTACTAATGAGACCCACCTGGGCTCCACAGTACTGTTGAATTTAGAATAAGAAGCAGCAACCTGAACCCAAAGCTAGACAAAATTAAGTTGAAAACAGATGCATTAATACCAACGAAACAGTTAATTCATGAATGTGTTGTCAGAGCTGATGACGCCACCGAGGCTGGATCCCTTCCAGAAAACAACACTTTAAACTGAAGACAAAGAGCTGGGCTTAGCACGGAGGTGATCAGTGGAATGGCTTGGCCTGGTATATACAAGGGGTCAAAGTAGATGATTTAATGATCTCTTTTGGCCTGAAAGCTTTTTGTTCTCTTAAGGAGATAAATGAAAAAGCCCTTTCACATAAAGCGAGCACTTGAGATATGTGTCAAATGAACTCTGCTGCTTCCAGGGGAACTGGGGAGCAGGATCTGCAGGAAGTGTGACCTTGGTGCCTCCAGGCTGTCTGAAGTTGGTGGCCATCTGTTTAGTAGCGGTGGCTCACCACCATCAAGGTCACCGCTCTCACACGTGACGTTCTTCAGCTCCATTTTTAATTGCTCTCTCCCTGCTTTTAAGTGACATTTGCTCCCTTATCTCCATCAGGGTGAAAAGGCCAAGTGGTATGAGCAGTCTCCTGGGGAAAATTGGCTCCAAAAAGCAGAAGATGAGCACACTGGAGAAATCTAAACTGGACTGGGAGAACTTCAAGGAGGAAGAGGGGATTGTAGAGGAACTGGCGATCCATAACCGAGGGAAAGATGGGTAAGACGGACTTTACCTAATAGTAGTGCAGCATTTCCCACCACTTCCTATACATGGAAGAACTCCATCACTTGCTACAGAGAGAGTTCAGCAAACCTGTGGGATTGACCAAGGATTTATTCTTGGGATATATAAAGGCAGTAGCTGCTCTAGGTATCACAGGGAGACAGGTAAGCCTGCAAGCACCTATCAATCTGCAGACAAACTGGTGAGTTCTTTCAAACTTAAACAGGAGAGATTTAGGTTAGATGTAAGGAAGAAATTCTTTATTGTGAAAGTGGTGAGACAATGGAACAGGCTGCCTAAGGAAGCTGTGAATGCTCCATCCCTGGCAGTGTTCAAGGTGAGATTGGATGGGGGCTTGAGCAACCTGGTCTAGTGGAAGGTGTCCGTGACCATGGCAAGAGGCTGGAACTAGACGATCTTAGGATCCTTTCCAACCCAAGTCCAGCTAAAGTAGAGTCTGGCTGTGCTTTATCTTCTCTCCTGTTAGTGGCACAGATACAGCAGGAACTGGTCTAATACAGCACTCCCATGAGGAGACACTGTTGCCTTTGCCCTGTCTCAAATTGGGACGTATGTTCTTCGTTCCATTCTTCGAGTGACACATTTCAGCTGCCTCTGCCCTCTCTCCTCCTCCAAACCCAGAACAGCTGGCAAGGTGCATTAAAGATTATGGCAGCACTGGGTGTTGATTGTGTGCATCAAGCAATGTTCAGTCCAATGAAGTTAATGGAAGTATCGTAAAAGTAAATGGCGATGCTGTAAATAAAACAGACAGTTAATAACATGCACTGCAGGGAAGGGTAATAAGATCAGAAGTGGTGTTTCCACTACAGCTGCTTTGCTAAGCTCTGGTAAAACATAACCGGCTTAGTGGACAGCTCATAAAATGTATTTTTATTTTAAGCTGTTCTTTTACTCTGCAGAAAAACCTCAGAGCTTCTGCATTCCAGCACATGGGAATTTGTATTTCAAATAGGTACTTCGTAATTGCTGTGTTTTTTTCAGTTTGGTCTTGCACCCTTCCACAACACCCCTGCTCCATCAGCTCTGCCCTGATGGATTTCTGAACACTTGCTGTTGCACAAGTGGAGCAATTCATTAGGAGTGCTGGGGGGGGTAGGGTGTTCCTGAGAGATCTCTGAAACCCAAGTTGGTGAGCGATTTACATCGTGAACATGTGTGGCAGAGCACCAGATCACTGCTGATGCTGGCTGCAGCATGGCTAACACTGCAGTCAGAGCCCCATACACAAGGCCCTGTTGAAATGGCCATGCCAGGGGTCTGGAGGCAGAGCCAGGCTGTGAGATGAAGGAGGGTGAGCTTTTCCTGTGAGAGCCCACCTCCGGAGAAGGGTCCTGTTTCTGTCTGTGGCACCTGGCTGGCTTGTCCCGATAGGATGTAGAGTGAGAATTTGCCCTGTGCAGATGTCCTATGTGGGTGCCAAATGTGGTAACAGCTTTGGGCCTTCACTGCTCTGGACTGGGCTGATTTTGGTAGTACCATCCTTAAAAGCCAGACCATCTCCTCCCAAGTGTTGGTACGCACCATTTCTTTCTGCAGCCAGTGGAATCAGCCTGACTCTCAGCTGAACTGTACACACCCCAGACAAGCCAGGCTGCCCTGCATGAGTATTCTGTGGCATCTCTTGCTTGTTCAAACCTAGTATCTCGACCTTTCCTGGGCAGAGCTGTTACCTTTTCCACCCTAGACAAGCAGGACAGCTTGATTTTCACACTTAGTAAACTGTTCCGTAGACACTAACATAATGAAGGCCGAAGAAGGGATTAGCATGTTGAAAAGATGAGCAAAGCAGAGCAGCAATATTTAAGAGCATCTGTAAACCTGGAGAGCTTTAGGTTTTGCTGCCTGTCACATCCCAGGCTGGAAAATCCACTGGGCTTTATTGTTAATCAGGTTTCGTCATTAAACTAATGAGAAACATTTGAGATGGTGTGCTAATTTTAGCCACTCTTTACAAATCTGTTTGTGCCGGTCAGGCATGTAATGTGAGGGTATCAACTGTGTACCTGCTCACTATGAATTACTTCCACCTTCAAGGTGTGAGGCGTGCTGCACAGTTACAAGAGCAGCCAGCCTGCCCGGGGAGCAGAGCACACAGACACCACTGCTGCCTGCTTCAGGTCACTCTGCAGGAGAGCCTGTTGTCCCTTCCACAGCTACCTCTTCTCCTTTAACAACATAGGCTCTGCTCAGCCTACAGTGAGCAATCATTTACCCATCTCTATAAAAACTGTGAGGAGCTGTTGTTAACCCTTCAACCCAGGCAGGAGGGAGCGGGTGCTGCCTTTAATCCCTGGTGCTGACATACGTTAGAAACCTCTGTCCTGCTTTGTAACTAACAGTCTGCCTGACCAGGACAGCCACAACCTGCTCCTGGAGCTGTTTGCTGGATGCCACGCATGCCTGCTCAATGCAGGGATGATCCGTGCATGTCTTGAGGAAGGCAAGAGGCTTTTCTTTATCTGCTCAGAAGGGAAGGCAGGCTGAACTTCTTTTTTCTGGTAGCCTTGCAGAAGTTGCTGTTCACAGCCCAGAGCTCCTCGTGCGTCGGACCTCTCCAACCCTTCTCTGGGACTGTGGCACGTTTCTGATGCTGTTGCTGGTTATCAGCCGGCTGCAGCCTGGCCCCAGATTCCCGAGGCAGAGGGAATGTGTGCTGCCCTGTGGCTGTGTCCACCCCTGCCTCTGATTTTCCACCCGTCTTATCACAAGCCCCATACAGTGATTTGCATTGTCCCTGCAGCAGGATCTGGGTTTGTGCAGATTGTGTCAGATCCTGAGGGCCTGTCCTGGATTTGACAGGAGGGTGAAGTAAGGAGCAGAGGCAGCTGTCCCCTTTGCTGTTGATGTCTCTGATGAGCTTTATAAATGGAAAAGTGAAGTGGCCTCGTAATTGGGCCACCTTTGTAGGGCAGCCCCAGTGGGGAGCAGCCCTGGGCTGGCCCCGTGTGCTCATGACTGGTGGTGTCTGGCAGGGGAGAGGCAGCACCAGTGAAACCCTCCCCAGGGCAGTTTGCAGGTGCCCTGGTTAGCAGGGACAGCCTCTTCTTCCCACAAATTTACCTTCCTCCTCTGTGGATCAAGCCGCCCTGTTTCCACACCGGCTGATAATTTACAGGAAACTATTGATTCAGGTAGCAAAGGTTATTTAGATAAGTGCAGGACGGGTGTTTGTGCCTCACTCGTGCTCTTTACACTGCCATTTGACACGGCCTTGCTGTCAGTTGCACCGAGCCAGGCTGGGAACCAGAGGTGGAGCTGTGTCTCAGGTGCAGGGTTTGGGGTGCAGAGGGTGCTTCTGCCACCCCTGCAGAGCTGCTGCTTCCCTGCTTGTGTCCATCAGCACCTCCAGCCTCTGTGTGCATGTTGTACAGCCAGCTGGGCTTGTTCCCAGGCTGCCTGCCCCATGAACCCCTATGTATGCACAGCAGTGCCCTGCAGGGTCTGCTCCAGCCCCTGCAGTGTTATTCTGTGGCTGGCCAAGGACAACACCACGGGGTAACCTACTCCATGCACAGCTGCCCCAGTGGCAGTGAGACCACATTCCTGGTTCATGATCCTTATCCATCCCCCAGGAGCCAGTCCCTGCCCATCAGAGGCACAGCAGCTGAGGAGGAGGAAGGGGAAGGTGCTGACCTCTTGCTGGGGTTGGGAGAATGGTATTGCACAGGAGCTTAAAGAGCTTCAAAATCAGTAGCTCAGGTTGTTGCTGCCCAAGCAGTACAGGTGCTCCCACGTTGCCAGCAGTAACCCCTGTCCCTCGCCTCCCTAGCTGTGGTTGTGGTTGGTGTTCAGCGGTGGAGGGGGAGGAAAACCACACGCCCAGCAATATGGCACACTAATATTCAATGTGACCCCTCTGACTTCCTTCCTGTGGCCTCTCCGAGCCTGGCCCCAGGATGCAGGTCACCTCCCTGCTTGCAGGGATAAAGGGAAGCAAATACTCCCCTGCCTGCCTTTCCTGTACCAGTGTTGGGAGGGGGCCACAGCTCTCAATCCAGCTTCTGACAGTGAGGGGTGCAGAAAAATACCTCCTCACAGCCAGCGCATCATCTGCATTACACCCCTGCCCTCACACCCGGCGGAGATGAGCTGACCCAGTTGTGTCAGCTGCAGTGGGGCATGGGGTGGCAGTAGGGATGTGCAGGGCTGTTCATCCGCTCGGGGGAATCACTCGCTGAAATTAATTTGGATTAATTAATTTCCAGTGATGCCTGGGTGGGCAGGAGCATCAGGGCTGTCCTTTGCAGCAAGGGTGAAGGCATCCTGGTGCTGGAGCACATTCAGTGCCAGTTCAATGTATGTAGCATCAAGCAGAGACCTCATCACCAAATGAGGAGGACAGAGGAAGCCCTCTGTCCTTGAGGGATTGCTGCTGGTGGTGGGAAGGGGCTTCAGCCTTCCCGTGCAGGTGGGTGTTAGGCACATCCTTGCATGCTGCCCACCACCCTGGAGCCTGGAAAATCTGCAGATGCTCACTTCCCTGCAGCTTTCAGTCTTGCTTTCAAGCAGCAGGCTTCTCTGGTTAGTAGGCACCAGCTGCAGGAAAAGAAGTGACGGGCACAGAGAAGCCAAATGTATGGAGTGTATGACCTTGTCATGATAGCCGAGTGCTTGCCGCCCTGGAACAAATGCAGAACAATTGTGATGATTCAATTACAGCTCCTGTTTTGAATTGCAATTTCACTCCCTCTGTAGGTTAATTAGTAGCACAGCCCCGGGCTATCTGTGGCAAGGGTTGCAGCAAAGTACATTAAAATTCATCTGCATGCCATTAATGAGTGGCAAGGTGCTTTTCCACGTGCAGGCGTGCTTGCTTTCTTCCTTGCAGCACTCAGGTGCTGTGCTGAGAGGGAGAGAGGTAAATGCTCAGCAGCAGTTATGAGCTGATTTTTGGCAGGGAAGCCCCTGGGCTGAATCCCTGAACTGCTGCAGGCTTGCTGAGTTGTGATGTTTGTGTCCCTAATGCTCCATGTGCCTGTTACCAGCTTGTATTGTGGCTTGTGTTCCTGTGGTTGGGTTTGAAATGCTTTACAGGGTCACCTGGGCCCAAGGGAGGAGCGTCAGAGCTGCCTCTCTGCCAAGGACCTTCCCTGAGCCAGTTCAAGTTGTTTGTGAGGGATGCATCCAGTTCTGGGGCCCCTAACACAAGAAGGATGTGGGCCTGTTGGAGCGAGTCCAGAGGAGGTCATGGAGATGCTCCAGGGCTGGAGCACCCCTGCTTGATGAGAGGCTGAAAGAGCTGGGTTTGTTCAGCCTGGAGAAGAGAAGGCTTTGGGGACACCTTTGAGCAGCTTCAGTGCCTAAAGGGGGCTACGAGAAACCTGGAGAGGGGCTTTGGACAAGGGCCTGTAGGGACAGGACAAGGGGGAATGGCTCTAACCTGACAGGGGGCAGATTGAGATGAGATCTTGGGCAGAAGCTCTTCCCTGTGAGGGTGCTGAGGCCCTGGCACAGGTTACCCAGAGAAGCTGTGGCTGCCCCATCCCTGGCAGTGTTCAAGGCCAGGTTGGATGGGGCTTGGAGCAACCTGCTCTAGTGGAAGGTGTCCCTGCCCATGGCAGGGGGTTGGAACTGGATGAGCTTTGATGTCCCTTCCAACACAAAACAGGCTAGGATTCTGATTTCTTAGCCACTAGAGGAGAGCTGGAACCAGAACCAGCCAGTTTGTATCTCCAGCCTGCAGGATCCCTTCACCCCAGGCCTCTGTGAGTCCCCCAGGGGACACCCAGCAGGCCACAGGGCAGTTCTTGTGTCCATGGGAAACATTCAGTGCACTGATCAGCTCATGGAGAGACAGGGAGGGAAGCAGATGATGCCTTCCCTCCCTGCTCCTAACTTTGGTTCAGCTGTGCCCCAAGGCTGGGGGCAGCCCTGGCTGCTACAGGCACTGCTTAACAGCCTCTGCCTCCCTGCAGGTACATCGAGAGGAAAGCATTCCTGGAGCGCGTGGATCACAGGCAGTTTGAAATCGAACGCGACCTGAGACTGAGCAGGATGAAGCCCTAAGTGCTGTGTATGGCTTCAGGGGATCTTGCTCCCTTCTGTGCCCGAGTGCTGGTTGGGGGCTGCCAGCCACCACTGGACCACCGAGCATGGAAACCTCTACCCAAGACTCAGCCTGTATGGTTCAATGTACAGGCTTTTCCTTTTAATGCAATAGTTCAGGGAGGGTATTAGTCTGTGGGAAGGGGCCAGTTTGAGGGTTAAATGGCCCAGAAGGTGACAGAAGGATGAGATTCTGGCAGCAGCTTTCCATGGAGAAGATATGGTGGCACCCATCCTTTGCCAACCCTTGCTGCTTCTGGCAGCAGGAGGAACTGTGAGGGCTGGGGGGGTGCCAGCATATTCAGCTCTGAGGGTGGAGCTGCAGGGAGGTTTAATGGTGCTGTGCATGCACAAGCTGTGTGCTGGAGCCCTTCTGCCAGCCCCACAGCCTCCCTGCCCCGCCACGCTGTGCTCTTGCCTGGACAGAGCTGAACTGTCTCTCCTTGCTTATGGGGTCTCATGATGCTGGGGGGAGGTGGGGGGGTGTGCATTAAGCAAGCTGATTGTCGTGGGTTCAGCAGTAGTAGTCATTTATGAAGAAATCCTTCCTCGTTCATTCTGTCTAGAAGATGTGAGCAGCTGCAGCAGGCAGGATGGGCCAGGATCTAAGCATTCATGTGAATAAAGTATTCCACCCTGACACTCTTGCATGCTGGTTTGTGTGGGAATCAGATGACAGAGAAATGAACAGTTGCATATAGTAAGAAGTGTTCGATGGTGACAGTGAAAATCCCTGCTTAGAGGTGGGATTAAATCCAGAACTGGGGGTTGATGGGGACAATGTAATCATACTGTAGTGATGCTGCAGGAGTGAGGAATCTCTGCCACAGCACAGCCACACAGGAACATTCAGCAAGTGAAGCTGCCTGGGAGGGCAGACAGAGGCACCTGAGTGTGGAGCAGACGGAGCTGGAGGCCAGCAGCACACCATCATCTTGCCATTCTTCTGATCTGGAGCTGAGTTTGGCAGCTCCCAGTGTTTGTCCTTGGAGTAAAGGTGCTTTTCCCCACGGGATGCTCAGAGCCTGCTCAGTGGGCAGCCCATGCTGGTGCTGTGGCAGGGGGAAAAGCAACACCAGCCCCATCCTTCCTGCTAACAGGCTGAGCGATGCTGCACTGGCCCCTTGCCCATGGCGTTGAGCATGGTCTCAGCTTTGGACTCACGTGTCAGCTGCTGAGTCAGCCCTTGCTCTGTGGCCGTGTTGCAGGATAGATGAGAACAAAACACCACGTGCTGGGGAGAGCTGCAGCCTGTTCTGTACAGAATCAGCTGTTACAGACCTGCTTCAACGAGCCTGAAATTGGACACAAAACGAGGGGGTGATGACAGGTTTTCATCTCGAAACGCTCCCAAGCCAGTTGCTGCTTTGGTTTTGGTTGCAAAAACAACCGGAGTCCCCATCCAGGGCACTGTTGTGGGGAGGTTTCAGCTCAGGGCTCCTGGCTGGCAGATGCAACAGGGAAACCTTTGGAGAACCCAAAGGCCAGAGGCACCAAACCCAGCCCTGCTCTTAAAAGCCCTGAAGAGCTCCAGCCTGTGTCCAGAGAGGGGCCTGCAGCAGCACCAGGCTCTGGGTGGCTTGGAGGAATGCCTCTGGATTTCCACACACGCTAACAGTGTGTTAGTGGGGTCTGGCCAGTGCAGCCTCCACGGGCATGCTGGTAAACTGGGAAAATGAGTGACCCCCAGTTTAGAGGACCCTGCCTGCCAGCCCCAGCTCTGCTCTCCAGAAGAGTTCCGGCCTCTCTTCTCTGGGGGTTTTCCTTCCCTTCAGCTGAGCAAATGTGGAAAATTTTGAAGTCTTGGAAGCAACCTGACCTGCTGGAAAAGTGCAGATCCATGGCCGTGGCCGAGAGCCTCAGCTCCCCTCTCTGCCAGGCTCCCCACTCCCAGAATCCTGGAGGTGAGCTGGGCTGTGGTACCCAGCGCCCAGCCCGGCAAGCCTGGACAGGGTCTGTGGGACAGCCGGGGCAGCCTCAGCCTGGGGCTGATTCCTGGCTTCCTCCGTGTGAGCTCCCAAGTGTCCCACGTTTTTGCTTGGTTGGATCATGTATTCCTCGCCTCTCTTTCCTGAAGACGAGGAGTGATTTACAGGTCTCCAGAAAACAGCTTGGCTGCTTAGGAAGGAAAAACAAAAAGCCAAAGCCAAACCCCCCCCCCTTGCTATTTCCATTCCCAGCCACCTTCCCACGAAGGGGGGTGGCCCGGGTCCCGGCCAGCCCTCGGCATCCCCTCCAGCCCTGAGCACTCTGCAGGGAGATGGTGATCCTGCAGGAGATGCAGGTCCTTCTTTTGAGATGTTCCCACCTCGAGCCAGGAAGCTCCATGTGTCCTCTGTGGGTCAGAACCCACTCAGGGCATTTGCTGGGGATGACTCTGGCACTGCAAGGAGTCCCTCATGGCCCCAAGCATCACCTCACCCCGGGGAGCTCCCCCTTCCCTGCCTGCCTGAAGGGGCCCCTTGTGTGGCTGGGCCCCAGACAAGGCAGTGATTGTGTCTGTGTGCCCCATCGGTCAGGGGCCATGCTCCAGAGCTGCAGTGAAACTGTTATGAAGCTGCTCAGTGGGGTCTGGGGAGGCTGCCCAGGGGAGCCTGCTACAGGGCAGGGAATGGTGTGTATTTACAGCTGCTGAGGTGGTAGGGATACAGGAACACGTCTGGCTCTCACGGTGCATCTCATGGGACCTTGCCAGGCCATCCCCAGGCCTGTGATGGGATTCTGGGCTGGCCAGGCTGCCATGGGGCAAAGTGTGGCTGGACCCAGGAGGCACCTCTGCTGTGGGGCAGCAGGTCCCCATGGGGTCCTGGTGCTGGGAGGGGCTGATGGAACTGGGGGCACCACATCCTCTTCCCCAAGCTGCTACTTTCAGCTTCTCCCACGTCTTTTCCCGCAGCAATGTGTGATCCAGCAGCACAGCGTGGCTGCGGTGGGTTCAAGACTAATGGGGTGGTTTGTGGGTCTCCCACCCATGGGAGGGTCCCCACTCGGGGCAAACTCAAACACTGGTGGGTGCTGGCACTAGTGTTTGAAGGTCAGCCGGCAGTGGTGGCATAGCCAAGCCCTCACTGGGGGATGAACAGGGAGATGAACAGAGCCACTACTGTTGGGAGAGCCCTAGGCCCACACTCCACCTCACCTTTTCAGGAGATGAGGGTGTGCCCTGCTGTCCTGTTCCCACCATCCTGCTGCTCCCTGGAGAAGTGAGCAGTCTCCTCTGCAGCTTAAAACCAGCCCTGCACCATAGAGAGGCGTGGGGATAAATCCTTGTTGTGATCCTGTTGGGTCCTGTGATAATACAAGCCAAGAGAAATGTCCTCATTATTACCAGAATATTGAAAGCTAATAAATCCCATCCTACCTTACAGGATTTATTTCTCTGTTCATTGCTAGGAGACTCAGTCCCGTGTAATCCTATTGCTGCTCCAGGAGGCAGGAGGCAGCTTTCCGAAGCACAGCCCTGGCAGGGCTGCAGGAAAGTGCTGTAGGCAGGAGCAGGCAGCTCCATTCAAAGCCTCTATTTCCCACTGGGGATGGCTCCAGCTCCCCCAGTGTGCCCCCTTCCCTGGGATGTCCCACTGTACCAGAGCTGTGCCCCAGGTGTGGAATCACTACAACACATCCCATCTTGGTGGTTGGGGCATAGCAGGGTCGATGGGGCATTAATCACCAATTAGCCAATTAACCTGGCACAGCACCACTCACCTGCTCCCCCAGTCCCATGTATGCCCACTGTGCGCCCCTTAACTTCCACTTTGCAGTCCTCCAACACATTTCCATGCCAGGAAAAGCCTGGCTAGGCACAGGAACAACAGCAGCAGCCTGCTTGGTGCAGAGCTGGCTCGCTGGACACCAGAGACTCTCCCAGAGACAGTGACAGACACATGAATATGGCTGGAAATTTTGCCACCAAAGTGTCTTCCATAGCAACTGTTGCTGGGGCAACCTGCATCCCAAGCAGGATCCATCCCAAAACCCCCAACCCTGCATCCACTATAGCCGGTGGAGAATCACCATGTGAGGCCCTCACCATACCCCACTGCCTGCAACCAACCCAGCTTTGAGCATCCCCAGCGTGCACAGGGCCCCTGTAATGCTCCAATTCTGATCCTCTTTTCTGGCATTTCATTTTCTTAGAAGCTGGAGAAGCTACAGGAAGGCCTGTTGGTGCCTGTCACCCACCGAGTGCATGGCTGCAGAAGCAGGGGGATGCAGGAGCTGTTGGCAGCTGATGTATTTGGCTACAATGCACCTAAAATGGCCAGGATTGACGATTGACAGGTGATGGTTTGATCCCTTCACAAGGAGGGTGGGAAATAAAATCCCTTAATACCAAAGCAAGGAGCTTGTGGCTCCTCAGCACCTGCCTGAAGCCATGCAGTAGCAGGATCATCCCAGGGATCCCAAGAGACACCCTTGCTGCCAGCCCAGTAGAATCTCACCAGGCTCGAGGGTTCCAAAGCAAACACAGTGCGGCCTCATGGGATTGGCTGTGGAGCTCAGAACCCATCCCAGGGCTGCACACGGGGCTCATTCCCTGCACTGTCACCGCTGCCACTGGCAAGAGGAAACCGCAGTCCTCTGGCTGCACCACTGGGGTGGCTGTGGTTTGCGGTGTGACCGCATACCCTGTGCCACATATCTCGTACCCCTGGCTGTGCCTCTATTTCCCCTTCTGCCAGCAATTCACTGGGGATCCTGCCTCCAAGCAGGGGATGGTACAGGGAGGTTGCTGGTGCCAGGGGATGGTGGTGGTGGCTCTTGGGGAGCAGAGCAAGCCTTGCTTTCTGTGGTGGCGCATGTGTTTGCAGTGTGGCCTCGGCTCCGCTGCAGCACACTGGTACAACCCAAAGGTAACCCCTGAGGTGAACACAGCTGAGAGGGAATGCCACGGCAGGAGCATGTGCAGGGGCGGAGGTACATTCCTGGCCTGCCTCGGCATGCACAGCTTGCTCCATGGCCCTGCAGCTCTGGAGCTCCTGTGTGCACCAGCATGGCTGCTGGCCAGCCCCGTGTGCCTCTGCTTGGCTCTCTGCATGTGCACAGGCCTTGCACCTTCACTGGCCACTCCCAGATCTCCCCCCGGTTCTGGGCACATACACATGAAGTCCCATGCACCCACTCAGCTCTTGCATGCTCCTGTGCTGGGCCACATGTGTGTCTGCAGCTTGTGCAGGCTGTGCATGTCATACGGGTCCTGTGCCTCCACTGCAGCTCCTACGTGTCCTGCAGCTCATCTGTGCCCATGCAGCTCACACCTCCCGCAGCTCATGCTGCTGCAGCTCAGACACGTGCCTCCATGAGCTCCCTGCTTGCCCTGCAACTGCCCTCCCAGCCCACTCCTGGCTCCATGTGCATGCCAGCAGCAGAGCTGCAGTTCATGTGGGGCAGCATCAAGCCTGGCTGCCAGGGCGCCTGTGGGCCACGTGCCTGGGCTGTTGGAACAGGTCAGGTGGGGAGCGTGCCGGACGCTGCAGTGTGCCACGTGCCATCGTGTGCCTCGTGTGCTGCACCATGCCATGTGTGCCACACTGTCTGGTGGGCCATGCTGTGCCACAATGGATCATTACCCTGCATCAGCAACTGGGCTGGGGTGGGACATGCAGCTGAGAGAAAGCCCTTGCACACACTTAAACACAC